AAACCATTCTGTGATTCTATACAACCCTTTATTTTTCTGTAAACTGAAATATCATTGAAGTTCCCACCTCAGTAAACTGAAATCTGGTTAATAAAAGGCATATTTTATTGCCAAAGATTATAGTCACTATAGATGCACAAAAGTAAAGTTTCCAGCTCCAATTGTGGGGTTAATTTCAGACTATTTGTGTAAAATTGGGCAAGCTATCATTTGCGCATCCATGGACTACAATAACAAAGGCTACATAAAAGCAGATTAGGATCACACAAAGACAGCATTTATTGGTAACTATCAACTAGCATAATATAGAATCTGTTGATGTAGACAACAGCAGAACAGATATTTGTTATAAGCCTTGATAAAACTAAAAAAATGAAGGCAGGTACTGTTAGGCAATATAGCATAACACAATATGAGCTATTTAGGAAGCATGCAATTGTAGAGCTGCATCCTCAACATCTTGTAGACCTTTGCACAGAAAGATGTGTCAGCTTTTCCAAGTGTTTATCTTAAAACCAATAAATTTGTTTGCAAAGGATCTGGAAAAAAACCCAAACACATTCTTAACATGACACTTCACTGTTAGTTCCAAGTGTCTGTGAGGCCATGTACAGGAGGAGTTGAACTCTTACAAATTTTGCCTCTACAGAGTGCAACAAAATACTAAAGGAACCCGAGAAGAATTAAAGCAATATAGAAAATTAATATAGAAAATAAGAGTAATGACTTTAATATGACTTGTAAAGTATAACCAACTGTTAAACATATTTACTTTGCCCATTACCTGGAATTTACATGCTATCAAAACAGCTGATAAAATCCTTCACAGGGAAAATCTTGGCATCGGTTGCCATAGAAATGGAAGCCAGCTGTAACTGTGAGTGAGAGCAGTTAAAGTGAAAACTCTTGCCTTTTTTCATATTTCCTAAGCATGTCTTAGTGCCACAAGTAAGAGTACTGGTGCTTTGTTTTGTTTTAAAATAAGCATGTAGGTCACGTTACTGATGAAAGGCTTCTAGGCGTATTCTGTTTGGATCTTCTGGATGTCTCAGGGCAATTCCAAATTGTAACAGCATCTCAACATAAGGTGGCCAAAACGAGTCATCGATCGTTATGTAGGGTTCATGCGGGATGCTTATTAATGTATTTACAAGAGTCTGGAAGACCAAAAGGATAAGATTTGGGAAATTAACAGCTAGATTTCTATCTCCTTTTAGTGAATATATGCAAATGATCGTAATGAGAAACTTAACACGAAATACAAAACTACAGAAAAAATACAAAACCTGTTCAAGGTAGAAGTAAAACAAAGGACTTGGCAATTAACTTCATTACATCTTTTTTGATGTAAAAATTAGAACCAGAATTCTCTGTTTATCCAGACTAGGTTTTCACCGTCTGTCAAAAATCTTAGTGGATTTTAGCTAGAGTAACTGTAAATGCCTAAAAAATATGGAGTGAAGGTGGTAAATCCTTACATAATTGTTCTTCAAATCAGTATCTGTTAAAGACTAAAAGCATTAAATAAGTAGGAAAGTTAGATTTTTGGCAATCACTTGCCTCAAAACCATAATGACTGTCAACAAATTACCATCCTTCACTCTTTCAGATTTTAGCAGAAAAGAATGTCCATCTTGCAATTTTTCTAAGTTTTGTCTCAATAATAAGCTAAAAAAAAAATTTAAAACATCTGCCTTCTTAGATGGGGAAGAATTCTTTTTCTTGTATTTTGTGTCTTTCTGTAGGTACTGCTAGAAGTAAGTTTGCACCTGTAAAAAGTTAAACATCATAGTCCTTGTTTAACTTCACTGTGTTTGCGCATCAAATCTTTTTCCCATCTCATAAATGGATTATCTAAACTCTTAACATCACTTCTTGCTTGGACATGACAAGGACCTTACAACAATGAATTTATACTCCTCTTGATACTTCCTTACTTCTCCTTTGCTAGTTAATGGAGTTAAAAAACAAGGCCAGTTTTGACATTCTTTTTCTGTTCTTGGAGACCATGCTTATGCCCTCATAATATTGCTTATGGGGAATACTGCAGACATTATGGATTATTTAGTCTTACCCATCCCATGGCACTCTCTATTCATCCCAGATATTTCATCTTTCTATTCAGAGCTTCCAAATGTTATAGCTTCCCTAATTTCAATAGGCATAAAATATTCTGTCTGTGTCTTTACCACTAAAGAAAAAGTCAAAATCCTTGCCAACAGACTTGAATTTTTTTCACCCATTGCTATACAAAAACCAAAACAAGCTTTTTTTTTTCAGAACATTCCAAAGAATTATTGCAGTTTATGTATTTTGTACTCATCTGCCCCAATTCTGAATATTTAGTCCAAATGCATTATTTTAGATGTATTGTTACTTAGTCCTTTCTGACATCTGATATTCCAAAATAGCCTTTAAGGCTATAACTTTACATACATTTGTATCATAAAGTGTCTTTCCAATCTTAAACTAGTTAACTAAATGCTCAAATTGGAAAGGAATAATCCTCAACCTGTTCAAAGGAGAAAGAATTACTACATTTGTAAAACATTACAGCTCATTACTGGAATAAAAAGTAGTATGAGAAAAATTCTGAGGTTTCCATGAGAAAAAAAAGAGAGTTTACTGCTTGTGTTCTACTTACGCTAATTTAATGAAGTAGGTACTGATAGACCCAAAGAATATAAACATATACACCTAGTTTGTCAAAGTGGATTTATTAAAAATGATTGAGGAGACATGGTTAGGAAGGCATGTAATGTAATTCATGTAATTACATGACTGTAATTATGTGAATGAATTACATTTTTACAACAGCAAATCCTAAATCTGTACTTCTAATACAAAGATGACTTTGCATCTGTCTCTTTAAGAGACTATTATCTGTATCTAAGAAAACACTTTTGAAGTTTAACAGGCACATGAAGCTAGAACAGAGTTGCTCAACCACAACAAAAAAAATCTCCATAAAACAAAGATAAGGGACGTTGACAGTCTATGCCAAGACAGTAAAAATTAAAACTAAATTTGAATTTTTGGAAGTAGCATGTTCTGCCAAATGGAAATCATACTTTACTTGGATATGTTCACATTTTGAGGAGATTAGCAATGTCAGAAGAACATGAATGGCACTTTTAAAACATTAGAAGAGCTGTAAAATTTTAGTTCCACAGGGAATGTGGCTATTTTAAATTCTGATCTGTTTTCAAGCTCTGCCTAATTTGGTTATAATAGGCATGCTGAGATACTTGAAGCATGTAAGATTATTTTGATGAGGTAAGCCCAAAGTCTGGGCTTTAAACTAAAGTACAACAATGTCATAGTGACCAGATCATAGCATCTTAATACCAGAAAGTTGTTATTCATCAAGTTTTCCCTCAGGAAAAAGACTTCCCTTGGGAGGTCTTACATGTAGATGCTTACAACTGCCTGAAGAGTGAGGATGGAGGAGGAACACAAAATTTCACTTCAAAAGCTACATTTAAGACAAGAAGGCACAATGCTAGTGAAAAGATTTTTAATGCTCCTTCAACATTGTGCTTTGCAATTTAAATTCATAAATTGCACCATGATTAAAAATACATCCAGCAATGCTGGCATACTTAAAAAAAAAATCAGTTAGAAATGCATAAATCAGATTCATCAATTCCCTCATATAAGAAGATAACCCAAGTCAATACACGAGACTACACATTAACTGGCCCTTCTATAACTGTTATTGTATTGTATTTCAGAAATATTTTTATTGAAACAGTACAAAATATAGCACGACATGGAACAATCTGACATAACGTTCTTAAACATTCTGCTTCTCAATTAATGATGTTAAATAACGACAGTATGTGATGTATGGTTATCTTATTAGTACGTTTTCATCAGATCTGACTATTGGAAAATCCCCCAAATCTCTACATAACAAAACCATCTTACCTCCAAAATTTCATGCAGCGTTATCAGTTCTACAGCTGGCTTTACTGTAGACTTCTGCAAAGACAACCACCCACAGTCCAATTAGCAGAAACCAAAAACGTTAACTGACAAAAATAATCGCAGAATTATTTGATCGCATAGTACACAACAGATAAAGACTTATTTAGATTTAGTCACGACAAAAATACAAGGCAATATTTGAATCATTTATCTAACAGTTCAGAATTATACACTTTAAATGTAATATTTTTAAATTAATTACTAAAAATATTAATCTTAAGTGATCATAATATATCTAATTGGCTTTACATCTAAATAAAACCAAGTACATCACATTTATAAATGTCCTACCCTACAAAACATTCTATGAATATGATCTGTTAGGGAAAAAAAGATTTCCTGGACTTCAGAAAAATGTTTACAATGCAATTTTGATATAGCTCAAGACTTGAGTACATAGTGTCTTAATATTTTTTTCATGATTTGCTAGTATTTTCTACTTTTTCTCTGACTTTAATTAAAAAAATTGGCCAATCTTAAGAAGTAGAATCATCAACAACAAAAAAAAAGGAAAGTCCTTGATAAAATATTACTTGTGCAGCAATCCATTAGAAAATCGACTGTTTTCATTTGTAGCAAGCAAATCAACATATTTGCCTATAAACTGATAGGGATTCCTTCAGCAAGCAATGCTTGTAAACTGTTGCATGGTGAACCCGATCATTTTATTTTTCAATTTTATCCTTTTTCCCCTTGCTCTTCACATTCAACAAAATAAAGGAGTAATACAGCACTGGTGTCTGCTTTCTCTGCACTGCTGTTGAATACGCCAACTTAGGTCCTAAGATACTAACAGATGTGCAGCATCATATACGAACTCCATTTCTGGAACAGAAGAATGAACATAGGCAATGAAGAATTTGTGAAAGACAGGTTCTGGCTCCTTTTTTCCAGTCACAGTTCTTAATACTCTCACCTTCAGAAAACCACAAGGGGGACATACCGCCTGCTCCATGGAAATCTGGCAAACCACGGAGCTGCGGCTCAGTAATGCCTATCTTTGTGCCTTTATCTTGACATTAAGCAGAGGAAACAGAATCTATGCTAAGAAGCTGCAAAAGCAGCTTCATGATTGGAGCAAACATGAAGATAATTTGTAGCCTCAGCTGTTGTATTTCCCTGGCCAAAACCAATATTTTGTGACTTAGGAATTGGGTTCAATATTCAAGGTTCAAAATTGAAATTAGGTTATGATTTTAGTAATTACTAAAACTGATATACAAAGGGTAAAGTCCTGGGGATATGAGGGTAAAGAGGTTTGCACTCTCAGAGAATTAGCAAACTTATTTTACTAGGTTTATAATATACATTGTCTATATTGTTTTATAAAATTGTATTATTTACATATTGTAAGTACCACCAATATAAGTACCTCTAATTAATCAATGCTTATATAATTAATTAATGTTTATAAAGCCACTTTTAAGCAGGATGCTCAGCATTTATTTAACCTGAACCATTTACACTTGTCTTTTCACATTTTTTATCCTGGAAAAAAAAAATGTGGGTGGTGGTTTATTTTTTGTTGTTGTTGTTTTAATCAGAGATTTAAAATGCAAGATAATTCTTATGTCAATCACTACCTATGCTAAAGGTGTTTGGCCACAACAACAGAAGCTAACCCCAGCTGCTGTTATTCAAGTCTTCCCTGCAGTTTGCAATCCCAGACAGAGGTGCCTGGTGGAAGGAGGGTTGAACCAGAGCAGCGAGGCCTGGAGCCGTTCACTCTCCTCTGGAGCCACGTCCTGCAGAATTCAGTGCCTCATGGTAGTTCTGCACGAGGCCCAGTGAGAACACAAGAAGCTTGCACAAAGTGGAAATGGATGATTGAAAGACAACTGTTAATTAAATCCCTGAAGCTTTAAATTCTCAGTGTTGGAATAAAATGTACCTTATATAGCTGCGGAAGAATTACAAGGTAATACAATAAAATGGTTGAGTAAGACTTTGAAAATGGACATCATGCCTTAAAAGGTTCTATTTGGTATTTTTAGATGCAAAATGCATACTTCTATGGAAAAAAAAAATTAAAGTTTCAGGGTTTCTCAGTTGGAAGTAACAGGAAGAAAAAGACAAGGGTGTAATCAGTTGCTTTTGTGATGAATGTGAGCCAGTAGTTTTGTCAATAATACTGTTTTTTTTACCAGCTTCCACAGAAGATGAATCTAAGTGGAAGCAAATAAAGAAAATGGGTATTACTAGGGTAAGACAGGGAATTGAAAAGAATTATCTTACTGGAGAAGAACAAGAAATCTTTGCTAGTTCAATTAGCAAAACCAAGAAAGACAGGATGTAAGATTGCTGTGTATAAATATATCAGGAAAAATAAACACAAGAAAGAAAAAGCACTATTCTAGGGACAATACTGGCATAAGAATACAGGGATCTGTGTTAAGACATGAATAAATTTAGACTGGAATTTAGGAGGCAGTTTCTAACCAGCATACTGAGGTACTAGAACAAGACCCAGTAAAAACAGTAGTAACAAAAATAATTAGTTTTAAAATGAAGCTCAATGATAATATTAAAGTATTATGTGGTTGTCTGACATAACAGGAAAGTGGATTAAAGAAATCCTTTCTACTTCAGTATTCTTAAGCGTGTCTGAAATCTAAATGAACCCTTGCCTGTTCTGTAGATTTTTTGGTAACTGTTCTTTCAAATAGTAATGGTAAAATGTTTATTTTTACTGTAGACTGAATTTATTATGCAAAATACTCCCTGACTGCCTATTTTCCCTAAAGTTTTAAGATAATTTTTGGCCCGGTTTGCCTGAACAGAAACTGATGGTTAACATTCCAAACTGCAGTGTAATTATAAACACTTGTCCTTATTGTTCCAAAAACATTGTTAGACAATTAAAATTTGCTTTGCCAAGGAAAATATGAATCCACATGCCTAGTCCAGTGAAGAAGAAAATGGAACAACTTGGAGTGAAACCTTCACCATTTCCAAATTTGCCACAGCTTACAGTTCAGAAAGAAATACAATACATTGCTATGCATCTCATTGGGTAAAGGATATATACATTAAAAAAGAAAATACCCAGCTGGGAACAGCCTTAAATAATATAAACCAACCCAAAATAAGAATTAAACAAAGTATCAGCTGTAAGAACTATACTTATTTCAAAATATAACTGTTGACTCTAGGCTAACGACCTAAAAAAGATACTGTATCTAAATAAAAAAATTTGAACATTCCAAATTTAATAATTATTAAGAAAAATCTTACCTCTTCCTTTTTAGAGCTTCCAACTTCCTGTGGATGGGGAAAATAATCTTCTAGAATTCCACTCAGAGCATTCAAGAGTTCTTCCTTATATTCATTTAGTTTTAACATTTTACTTTGCAGTTCTTTAACTGCTCTAGTATTCAAACTAATAATAAAAACAATAGAATATGAAATTCAATAAAATAATTAAGAAGTTGTTAAGTAAAAGTATCCCTTATTTTCTATTGCTACAAGTTCAACATGTTGAATTACAGGATACAAGCAGGTAGTAGCAGTAGTTTCCATGTTTCAATTATTGATTACTGAGTCAGTATTTGATCTATTTAACAAAACAAGGAATATGTTTTAAGAATTTGTTTGCTGACTTGATCTTGCCAAAATTTAAAATCTTCAATATGAAAACCCAAGACTGTAGAAATACCTTGTTATGGAAGGTTGTTCAACTTGGGTTTCTCCCTCTTCAATTTCTTCAAGAGTATGTAGTGTCTGCTCCTGTTCCTCGTACCACTGCTGTTCTCTTTGAAACATAAAAAGTAGCAAATGGTACGACAGATAAATAGTTTTCCTGGGCAATTAAAAAAAAAAAGTAGTAAAAAAGCTTATAGCATTCATAAATCCAAATTACCGTATTACCTTTTCAGATCTTCGTCCAGCTGTCCATTTTTCAACAAAACTGTTGACAGCATAATTTCAAGATCATTCCTTACTCTCTGCAACTATAAAAAGTAAAAATAAACCTACAGTTTGTAGATACTTCAGCCTGTAGTATTTGTTCTGTGTAAGGTTATAGCTGTATATCTGGTAAAGAGGACCAAAATCATCTGTAATTTCTTAAGAAATATGGCTATAGAGTGACGCACTATTTTTAAATCCAGTGGGAGATATTTAAAATGTTACTGTCACCAGCTGTTCATCTGGGTCTTACTGAAGCTCTGCAAAACAACATAGTTTTACCTTAAGCAGAATATGGAGCACACACACGAGCTGCTAATCTAATGAAAGACTGAGGAGAAAAAGTCTACAGCACCAGGGCGGTGTTGTCTACATCATCGCAGCTGTTTGCAAGAATGAATCCATGCTAGTTGCACCAACGTAAAATGTATAGCACTCAGAAAATAAAGATGCTGCAAAGAAAGACTCATTGCATCTATTAATTAAATGGTCCTCAGTGATATGCACATATTTGGCAGAGGAAAGAGGGAGAAATAAAAGCGACTGTAGCCAGAAGTCATATGCGCTGCTGAAAATAGGGAATAGTGGACTCTCAAGGGACTGGATCTTTCATTAGTGCATTATATTTTTCAAAGTATTTCTAATAGTTTATGGCGGGTTTTTTGTTTGGTTTTGGTTTTTTTTAATATGGACACAGGATTTGGATGCATTTTGTGTCTTCACAAACTATGAGAAATTTTATATTTAGCTCAAAAAAAAAAAGAATTGTGAAAATATTCTAGAGAAGCAAATAAGCCCCGTGTATGCAACATCTGAAATAAACCCAAAAGAGGAATCTTCAACAAAATAGGCCGCAAAAAGGTGTATCAAGAACATGCCAGAGCAATACATTCAAATGAAAGTGTGTAACCAAACATTATGTTTATAGTGACTCTTAACAGCAGCTGCGTTCCCAGTTGTGAATGATCCTAGAGGAAGGAAAGCTGCTAGAAAAAAGAAAACAAAAAACGTGGGCTCTTTGTTTTGGTTTTTAAAGCCATAGCCACAGGAATATTATCAGGTCATGTTGCATATCAATGCCCAATCAATGTAGTGTAATGCCACCCCCAAGACATTTATTATTTATTCTTTTCTTCAAGGCTGGAAGGACCCCAAAAAAATTTGCAGATTATTGCCACAGGACTCCAGATCTAAGAATACTGACTCTTCTCTGTAACACACAACGCTACATTATTGATTTTATACCAAGTGTGAAATGCAATAGATAAGATAATAAGATAATAGATAGTTTGTTTAAAAGATTATTCATTGCAACTAGGTAATTTTAGTAATTATAATACAGGGGAAGAAAAAAATATTAGAACAATAACAATGTCTGAAGAAACATACACAGTACCTGACCAGTAGTCCACCACAGCAGCAGCCAGAGGAAAATGTAATTGTACATACTTTCATCCCCCTCCCAAATGAAATTTTATTAATTCTTAACAAACAAAAAGACTTACCTCTTCTTTTCCCAATCTTAGCAGTACTTCTGGATTGGTAGAAATTACTGAAAAATAAAATTAAAAAAAACAAACTTTTTTTTTTTTTCATGGGTCGATACAGACTAGTTTATACTGAAAAGCAGTCTGGCTAGAAAGAAACCTGTGTAGCCTCCAAAACGCCAGCTTGGCTGTCAGCAGCAGTTTAACCACATTTTGTGGTGTCCTGCTGGGCTAACCTACCGTCACTTCTGAGCCTGTTAAATTAGACTGAAAAGTGTGGTGTCAATGCTTCTGCATTAGTTTTTTGTACCTGAACTAGCTCAATTACATAATATTGAAATGTACTTATAATAATATTAATATTATTATATAATATGAAGTGCAGTCACATGTCAAGATAAGCAAGCCTGATTTTTTCAGTGAAAGAGACTCCACTGAACATTACCAATGTGGGTAATCAAATTCTTCCAGTCCTTTTTAAAAAGCCTCCCAAATGCTTAATCAGGATCGTAAAACCATCAGATTTAAAGAACTTAAAAGCACGTCACCATCCTTACTGTTCACAAGAACAGCTACATGCAGGGAGACGAAAGGCCCAGCAAGGCCAGTATCCTAACTCCAAATCTGAGCAACACCAGCACTTAAGGGAAATTGTGGTACTATTCAAGGATGGGGTAATGTTTCCCCAGAATGCTTCTGCAAAACGCAGTGATTTATGGCTCATGGATGTTCTGAATAAAAACCAAATTCTTGTATTTGATAGCCTTCAAGGGACTCCAATCAATTCTCAGTTTCATGTGAGCTTGCAGTATCTGCATAAAATGATGCATTTGAGTCTATTAACAGGAGAAATGAAAGTTAACAGATTTAGATGTTAATATGACTGAGATGTTTTTTGTCTAATCTTAAAAATATCTACTTCAACAAAAGCTTTTCCTTTACCAAAAAGGAAAACCCTTAACTCTACCATAAAAGCATTAAATATCTCCTAGAAACAATACAGTTGATTTCATAAATCTATAAAAGTACTCTTTTTTGGGTAATTTTATAGTTCTTATCTCCGTAAATTTTGAGAAACCTAAGATCAGTAGTTTTAAAAGCAGTGTGTGTTCTGTGATGAAAAGCAGAAAAACTATTGAGTTCAAAATACATTAAATTATTTGTCACAACAAAATCCCTTTTACTTAGAGAATTATAGTCTCTAAACCTTGACTCAAATTTTGGATAGAGGGCTCCCAAATGAAGCTTATGTTTAAGAGCTGTGGGAGGCAGTGGTCTATGCTATTATTAGAGCATTATTTCTTTAATGACATGAACATCCTACATACACATGACGAAATTCACTGGTGTGCTTTTATTCACACTCCCTGGCATATTTTAAGAAAATCTTCCCCCAGCCACACCACACCCCGCAGCCCCAATTATTGTGAGCCCTCACTACCAGGAATTATCAATTTCTCCTATTGGTTTCTAACTTCTTCATTTTTAGATACCTGATCCTAAGTATGTGCTTCCCACTCAATACTCATATTAATAAGTATCTGCATTGGGTTTGCATGGCAAGGTGTTGGTAGCCAGGGTTGCGCTACAGCGGTGACTTCTGTGAGAAGCTGCTGCAACTTCCCCCACATCCAATAGAGCCAATGCCAGCCAGCTCCACGACAGACCCGTTGATGGCCAAGCAAAAGTGGTAGCGGCTCGGGATAAGTAAGAAGGGGGAAAAAATACCTGCGCAACAGCAACTACAGCCAGAGAAGAGCATGATAATATATGACAGCAGACACCAAGGTCAGTGGACAAGAAGGAGGAGGAGGTGCTCCAGGGTAAGAAGGGGGAAAAAATACCTGCGCAACAGCAACTACAGCCAGAGAAGAGCATGATAATATATGACAGCAGACACCAAGGTCAGTGGACAAGAAGGAGGAGGAGGTGCTCCAGGCACTGGAGCAGACTCTCTGACAGCCCATGGGG